GGCTTATCTTGATTCTTTAGCTACCTATTAATTGCCCCCCCCAATCAGGTCAACATCTTCAAAGACTTAGATCTGTTTTTCTTTCTTTCTAGTTTATCCATTTATTTATTTATTTTTAAATTAATTTATTTTGAGGTATCAACAATCATTTCCACAAGCTTTTGAGTTTTCAATTTTTCTCCACCTCCATCCCTGCCTCCCTCCCCAAGATGGTGCGCAAACTGATATAGGCTATACATATATCTTCCTATTAAACATATTTTCACATTAGTGATGTTGTAAATAAGAATTAGAACCAATAGGAGGAACCACCAGAAAGAGGAAACAAAACACAACAGAAGGAAAAAAAATTGCAAATAGTCTGCTTCGAACTGCATTCAAACTCCATAGTTCTTTCTTTGGATGTGGATAGTATTTTCCATCAAGAGGCCTTTGGAGATGTCTTAGATCCTTGTGTTGGTGAGAAGGGTTAAGTCTATCAATATTAGTCATCACTCAATGCGGCTGTTACTTCGTAAAACGTTCTCTTGGTTCTGCTCACTTCATTCAGCGTCAGACCATACAAGTCTTTCCAGGTTTTTCCATAGTCTGCCTGTTCATCATTTTTTATCAAAGACCTAATCGAAAGGCAATTTAGAGGACATCTAATTACTTCCCCCATCCTTCCCCAATAAGGTCACCAAAATGGACATTAACACTCAAAAAATGGACATTGAGGTTAATTGATTTACCACATAGACAAGGGCAGAGCTGAAATTTCAATCTAGGTTCTCAAGGTCCAAATTTACCCAATTCAGCCCTCAGTCCACAGCAAGTTTTTGTACTTTCTCCACAACTCCCTTGGCTCAGGGAGGGAGCTATGCATGTGGGAGGGGAGAGGGTAGAGTTCTAGGTCCCAGTCAGGTATCAGTGGTCATTCTGGATTAGCAGAGGGTACAGAAAGGGTTTTAAAACCAACCAATTGGCTAAATTCAGGGGAAAGGAAGCTGGGCAGAGTCAAAACCAATGTCCAAAATCTTTAGAAGTAGAACTTCTGTATTTTAGGATCAGCAAGCAGCGAAGCAGGAGCACACAGGGCTCCTTCAGTCCTAATTAGAGACAGTGGTACTTCTACCATTATCTACTACAGAGTAAAGTAGTTTACCAAACTCAAGAGGTATCTCATGGAAAAATCATTTTGTTAACACCGAGTATTCTTGTCTCTTGTTACATAAATAAGTTGAAACTTCACTTTTTCATAGTAAATAAAGCCTTCTTCTGTTCATCTTGTGTTGTTTGAGGGAAAAAGGTAGAAGGCCAAAGGAAGAGTAGAGGTCAATGACAAATGACAATATCCAGGAGTGACAGTGAAAGCCATGTGAGGTAGGTACTATAAGTTGAAGTGAGGCAAAAAAGAACAGTGAGTTTCAGAGGAGACATGATGCAGCACCAAATGCTGCATCTCCTTTTGGGTGGTTGTAGTTCCCAGCCTGGAGAAAGTCTGAACTATCCTGAGATCCAGAACAGAGGAAGGAGTTCTGGGAGTTCAGAGAAAGAAAATATCTTTAGGCCAGGCTCCCCTTTGGGGGAGGAACCGGATGTGACCCATGCTTGTAGGTGCTCTAAGGAAAACCAGGTTTCAAGATATTACCAGACGAGCTCTCACTGAGTATTGGGATAATGGAAAGGAGGAGGTGGAGTATACAAAAAGGATAAAAAAATTTTCCTTGCCTTAAATTTTATAGTCTAGGAGGAGAAAACAGCTCACACGTCTACAGTGCTTTAGAGTTTACACAATTCTTCCATGAGAACAACTTTATGAGGAAGGCAGTGCAAATCTAATTATCTCCATCTTTGCAGATGAGGAAACAAGTGAAAGGGCTTGAGATCCTCCCAGAAATATTTGCATTTTAAAGGGGAATTCTGAATATCTAGACTGTAATAGAGGCAGCTTGATGCCCCGAAAAGAGAGCTATACTTAGAGTCAGAGAATCTGGGTTAGAATCTCAGCTCTACAACTGATGAGTTGTGTGATCTTGGGAGAAGTCATTTGACCAATCTGGACCTCAGTGTCCTCATCTGTAAAATGAGCAGGTTGGAGTAGCTAGCCTCTAAGTCTTCTTCCAGTTCAAAATCTATGATCCTTCTCACTGCCCATGTGGGATTAGGCAAGCCAATCCAATTCACCAAATATAAATGAAGCACTGCTATGTGCACAGTATCTCATTATCAGCTCAATTTTTCACATGAGGGAGCTGAGGCTAAGAGAGCGTAAGTGATTTGTAAGGGTTACATAGCTAGTAAGTATCTGAGGCTGAATTCAGACTCAGGTCTTCTTGACTTTAAATCCAATATTCTATCCACTGCCCCACCTCCCACCCATCTAACCTTTTAACAAAGAATAAAACAAAGAGGAAAAAAACAGGTCAGAAAAACCAGCTAACACAACTGAGTCTGACAGCATATGTAATATTCTACACCCATAATTCCCCACCTTTGCAAAGAAGGAAGGGAATGTCTTGAGTTCTTGAAATTTGTGCCACTGGAGCCCAAGTTCAGCCAGATCCCATCAAGATGGAAAGATTTTGAGTACAAGGAGCTCATTACAAGGAGGTTTCCCCCCAGTTGTTGAAGATGCTGCTGGTTCTCCTCCTCCTCCTCCTCCTCCTCCTCCTTTTCTTCCTCTGTTCCTTCATCTCCTCCTCAACTTCCAAAAGTTTCTAAAAAGGTTACTTAGGCATGGGAATGTTTCAAATTGTATTAATGAAAGGATTTATTCCCACAGATGAAATCACAGATCCTTAAAGCACTGAAGTGAGAAATTTGTTTAAACTAGAGCTCAAGAGCAGCCTTGGTTTAGAATCACTCTATAGAAGAGATTAAGGAAGAAGGAATGTGTGTGTGTGTATATGTGTGTGTGTGTGTGGTATGGCTAGAAAGAGTGGGAGTGGGAATGCGACTCACAAAGGACAATGAGCAACCCAAGGAAATCATGAAGATTCTGTGTGTTATGGTAATATACGCTGTTGTTGTTTGTCCTTCATTTTCAAACAGGACCAATGCTATCCCAGGGTGATGTCTTGACTCATTTGTGAATTGGATTTAAGTGAGGCAGAGCAGCACAAAGTCATCAGACTCACTTTCTCTTCCTGAGTCATCAAAGTCCAGTGGCAAGATGAAAGTGAGGATAACTGGCAATGATCTGGAATGACCCCAGTGTCTTCGATGTCCGACTAAGCTCTAAGCCTTCCACAGGGCCTAGTTCAGTCCCCTTTACGGCCATTGGAACAAATTGTTCTTAGACACCTATTCTTCACATGCCTGGGGTAGACACTTCCCTAACTCATTGATGGATTTGAGGCCCATCAGTTACACTGAATTCGGTTTAGCTAGTCTGGGGAGATGGTTTACCAGGGTATGGCCTTTGTGCGTGATACAGCTTCTTGAAGCCACAAGTGAGTTAAGCGCCAGGTCAAACACCGAAGGTGGATGAGCAGGCTTGAAAAGCGTTCAGCGAGCCCTCACATCAGAGATACTAGTTCTCCTTAAACACTCTAGATTTCAGTCAGTGTCCCCCATTTGCCTAATCCTAAAGGGAGCTCTGGAGGAGTCTAAAATGTCTTCTTATGCTGAATTCTACTTTTTATTTAAGTGTAACAATGATATTTTGGGATATTTTATTCCATGTGCATTTAGAACAATGGAATGTCAGAGGGAGAAATGACTTTAAGTCCTACTAATCCAACTTGCTAATTTTGCATATGAGGAAATTGAAGCTCAAAGAAATTGAGTGGCCATCAAAGACACAGACTAGGGCTTTGAGGTCATCTAACCTGAAAGTTCTTAACCAACCAGGTTAGAATTCAGGAGGTCTATGAATCTGAAAGGTAAAAACAAACAAACAAACAAACAAACAAAAAACCAAACACCTAACATTTAATTTTTTTTTTTTTGGCAATTGGGGTTAAGTGACTTGCCCAGAGTCACACAACTAGTAAGTGTTAAGTGTTTGGTCTGAGGTCAGATTTGAACTCAGGTCCTCTTGACTTCAGGGTCCGTGCTCTATCCACTGCACCATCTAGCTGCCCTAATTGATTTCTTTTGTAATCCTAAATATTTTATTTTATATTCTTAACAACAATTCTGAGAGGGATTCTGTAGGCTTCTCCAGACTGCCAGAGGGGTCCATGACATACACAAAAAGATTAAGAATTCCTGATTTAGCCTGACCCCATAATTTTTCAAATGAAGAAACTGAGACTCAGAGAGGTTTAGCAGATTGCATACCCAGGGCCAGGTTCAAATTCATCAGAGTTCAAATTCTGCTCATCTGTCCCCAAATCCAATCCTATTTTTCCATTATATCATATCAACCATTAGTCAATGGGCTTTCTCAGACAGTAACAGAGGGGCCACATCCTTTACCATTTCTTGTGCTTCTATCTTCCATCAAGCTGATCCCGTTGTGTTATTCAGCTTCTTACTTCCAGTGGAACTTTCTTGGATCCAATGGTTAACCTATCTTCTCTTCACACTGGAAGTCAAAAGCTGAGTAACACATTTTCATAGTGGAGTTAAGTAAGTTGCCTGGAATTCATAAACTCCGATGAAGTGTGGTTGGCTAATAATTACATTATGAAGATGTCCTCAATAATTAAAAACTGAAGAAAATATTGGGTTGCTAACACCCCCACAAACTACAGAGAATTCGGAGAATTTGAAACATCCAGGGAGAAGTCAGAATAAATGCGTGCATGCATTTAGTAGGGGTAAAACACACACACACATCCACATCCACACACATATGTACACATATACACATACAAATGCAGCACACTCAATGATAACCAAAAAAAAGGACCAAATTCATTTTATGAGTTTGACAGTTTTTTTCCTGCACAATATTCTCTACTCTAAACAGGGAAAATAAAATCAAGCTTTGTTCCTGAGCATATGTTTTTGACATTTTTTTCCCTTCTTGAAGACTGTGAATTATTAATAAACTAATTTCTCTTTATAGTTCAATCTTTGGAGATTTAAAGTGTTCACTCAGATGCACAGAGACATGGCAGTGCTTCAGCTCAAATCAGCTCCTATCCTCTCTGGAGATCCTGCTGTCCTTGAGGTATCTCTGAGTCTTTGAAATCAATCTTTGATTCAACCAGGAATTTCTAATGGCTTCTCAGCGTAGGCCGTTACTATAGTTTAAGGCCCTGCTTAAGTATGGTTATTTCTGTCAGCTAACCTGGTATTCTTACTTTGCTCAGCTTGGACCAAAGGAACAAATCCTCCTATCTGTGTGACCTTGGACAAAGTACGCAGGCCTTTCTAGGCCTCAGTTTCCTTATCTATACAACTTAGCAGGGGTTATGATAATAGTGTCATAGGCCACTTTGGCAATCTGGTGAAGCCTCTGGACTGCTTTTCAGAATAATGTTTTAGATCCATAAAATAAAATGTGTAGCATAATGAAGGAACTCAATTTTGTTGAAATATAGTTATTGAAATATTTAAACAAAAGATCGTAGTCCCTTGGAATTCAATGGTCTCTGAGGTTCCTTCCAGCTTTAAATGTATGATGCCTCTTTATGGATTGTGTATGTGTAAAACATAAGCAAATATGTATCTATATCTTCAAAGAAAGCTCACTGTGGTACCTCATCTAGTGTGGAGGTGACATAGAGTTTTTGAAAACTTTGAGAGCAGACATTAAGTTCAAGGTACAACGGGTTGAGAAGGCTTCAGGAATGTACCAACAAAAGAACGTACTATATCTTTCAACCCCAAAACCATCTCTGTACCAGAAAGCTTGTCACCAGCTAAGAGTTGTTTACAACTCATAAAGGCCATCCACAAAAACATGGAGGGATTGTGATCTATTCTGGTGGGCAGAGTAACCCCATTTATGAAATTAGGAATTTTTCAAAGTAATAAATTAACATGTAAGCAAAAATGTGCATGCATATGTATGTGTGTCTGTAGGTACATACATGTTCTATTTAATAAGTTCTTTCTTATGTAGCTGATTTAGGAAGTGAGATTTTTGGCCACTTAGGATATCTTACAAGTCAAAAGTTTAGAGAAGATAGAAAGTAGTCCTGCTTCTGGTTAGATTTAGATTAGATGACTGCTGAGATTTCCTTCCAACTCTAAGATTCTGTGACTCCACAAAATACTTTTCTCCAAAGACCATCTTCCCAGTTGCTGTAAGGAAGTCACAAGGAGTTAGATTTCAGCTCAACATATGACCTCAACCAGAGGCTGGGTCACTATCTGTCAGGGATGTTATCGAAAGGAATCTTGTGATGAGTGGGAGGCTGGACTAGATGACTTTTTCCAGTTCTAAGATTCTTTCTAATATCTTTTATATCCTCAAAACAACTCTGTGAGATACAGGGAATTAGAATTCTCATATATTGCAGTTGGAGAAACCAAGGCATGATGAGACAAATTGACTTGCTGAGGCTATGTTTATTGAGAAACTAAGTCAAATCAAGAATAGAGATGAGATCTCCCATTTCCTAGACTCATGCTTTTTCTAGAAGAGACTACTCTGTCTTTTACATATGGATGCCTAACAACAGGAAAAAATGCGAAGGTCTGATCTTCTTCAACCTTGTGCATTGATTGTCCGCTCAACTATCTCTCTTCCCCTTTTTCATTCCTTCCCTCATCACTTCACAGAAGTAAGCCACTTCCCTATTTCCCATATTCTTCCTCCTCTCACCTGTAAGACCTCAGGCATCACCAAGACAACATGATCAAGTCAGATACAAACAGGTCCATTTGGAGAAAAATCAAACATGCCAACCATGAGATCCAGAGAACTGAGTTATAAACCAATAGAATCCTCTCAATCATGCCAACAGGGTACACATATACACAAAACATGTTTCTCTTGTCTGAGCCACTGAGAGGAAAGCAAAAAGAAGAAGGAAAAAAAAAACCCTCTTTTCTTTTTATTTTTAAAACCAGTTCTATTTTGGGGTTTTATTTACTTATGTTTGGCTTGCAGAGGTTAAGGGGCTAGCAGTAATGGAAACTGAAGTCTTCTGATTTCTCCCTCTCTGGGCTAAGTCCACTTAGATGGTTATAGCATGAGCTTCCTCAGCCTATCCAACCCAGGACCTTGGTGTTGACCTGGCAGCAGCTCCTTCTCTTGGGATATGGAAAGATATTTGGGCTCCAGGGCATTTATAGACCTTGAACAGCCAATGTCAGCTGTACATATGATAGGGCACGTTCCTTTTCCAATGAGGGTTACTAACTCATTAAGGACTAGGGGAAACTAGAATAAAGCCATAGAATCAGAACCTCAGAACTTGAAAAGACCTTAGGGATGATCTATTTCATTCTCTTATTTTACAGATGGAGAAACTAAGTCCCAGAGAGGGATAGTGAATGCACAGCTGAACTAGCAGAAGAAACAGGCACCCAATCTAGGCAGGAAAAACGTAAGTTGATACATATTTAACCACTGGAGTGCCTGAAAAAAAAAGTTTTCAGGCAATCCAGTTGTTAAATCTATGTATGTATAAAATTTAAAATTATTTATATACATATTATATATATATATATATATATATACATACAATTTTCAGTGTGAGAATTTACAATCAGCAAAGGTTACAACTGAGGGCTTGATTTATTGCTTTTTGTTGATTGTCTAGACTTAAGAAATTGTTGAAAATTCAGATTAAATTTAAACTGTGTAGTATAGTGCCTCTTTGAGGCTCACTTATCTCATCTGAAAAATGAGGATGCTAATATCTGGAGAACCTATTTCACAGGTTTGTTTTTATTCCTCAAGATAATGTGTATAAAGTGTTTGCAAATATTTACTCATTATTTCTCATATCATTCTTTCGAATATTCTAGTTTTCATGTGGTTAAATAAGGAGTTCCTTGCTCTTCCCACTTTTCAGCTTTTTCCCTTTGAGCTTCTCAGAAAGAGGTACAAGTTTGTGTTGTATTACTCTGAGCAACACCACCTACATATAATACACTGAGACTATATTTTTACACTAGTCCCTATGGATGGGGTTTAGTGTGAAGAGGATCTAGAGCGCCTCTCTGTCAAGCAGTTGTTTACTGAAAAACTGCAGAGAAGACTCTGGGAAAAGAAGACTATGGGTTTGGGGGGTGGGGGTGGGGACATGTAATAGTCTTCAAGTACTTAAAAAAACAAAGATGTGGGAGGGGTGGTCCAGATGTGAACTGTTTCATAAACTTTCAGATGAAGTCACTATATTATTAGTTTTACTTAACTGTTTTTCTTTGTTACTAGAGATCTCTCACGAAGTGGGAGTAATCTGTAAGTGTATGTAATATAAAAACAAAACACATCAATAAAACTGAAAGTAAAAAAATAATAATAATAAAAGGCTGTCATATGGAAGAGAGAATAGACTTATTCAATGCTGCCCCAGTACAAAGAAATAGAAAACAATGGGTGAAAATTTCAAAGATCCAAATTTAAGTCAGATGTTCTAATACTAGTAACTAGAGTTCTCCAGGAATGAAATGGGCTTCTGGGGAATTCAGTAGGTTTTCTCACTGGGGACCAGCAAGCAAAGGCTAAATGACTATTGAATGCTGAAGGGGTGGTTCTTTTATGGGTGTGAGTTGGACTAGACAACAGTTGAGGCCTCTTCCACCTCTGAAATTTTGTGGTTCTGTGGTTTTTTGTTTGTTTGTTTTTTAGGTCTCCAAAGGTGGTCTTCTTGGAAAGTTTCACTGTAAGTGCTTGGCAAATGTTCCAAAATGATGAAATCGATAGTTTCAAAAAAATATTCTGATTGAGATCCTGCTCCTTCTCCAAGTCCATCCTCTTTCTCCTACACACATATGCACACATAATTCTTAATAATGAGAAAGCATAAGGCAATCTGAGCAGCTGGGTGGCACAGTGGATAGAGTACATAGCCTGGAGGTAGGAAGACACATCTTCCTGAGTTTAAATCTGTCCTCAGATGCTTACTAGCTATGTGACTCTGGGCAAGTAACTTACCCCTATTTGCCTCAGTTTCCTCATCTGTAAAATGAGCTGGAAAAAGAAATAGCAAACCAGTCCAGAATTTTTGCCAAGAAAACCCCAAACAGGGTCCCAGTCAGACAGAACTGAAATGACTGAACCACAACTCCGTTATACCTTTAAACATCTTTCCTCCATGCCTGTAATTATGAACACATATTTACCAATGAAACTAGCTTAAAATAATTAGTCTACTGTTTGTTTTGTTTACAGGGAGCTAAACAACTCGTTTGATGCATTTTTTAGTTAGTCAAATGGTTTATTTGGGCAACATGTAGATGAGACAAAATTCTATATCTTTTCGCCCCTAGCACCGCTCTCTTTTCACCCTTCCTTCTTGTCTTCCTCTGTTAAAAAAAAAAAGTGAGGCTAAAAGTGATTATGGCAATTATTTAATATTTATATGAGTGATCAAGTCGGGTTTATTAGATATTTTGGGTTTTATGTGTCCATGGTTTTATGGCTTCTCATTTGAATGGTGGAGTCCTAAAAGGCAGGCCCCTTTGAAGATTCTATGGAATCTCTTCTAGATTGCTACAGGCTTAAAAATTCTAGATAGTACAAAGGAGAGGCAGAATTGTGATTTTCAAAGAGTCTTCAGGATTTAGGGGAAGGATTTATTAGTTCTTCATTTGTTCTCCTTTATGAAATGGGAGTGCTGGTACTCGGTAGAACTGATATGAAAAAGAAAATTACAGGGTACCATATGGGAAGCAAAATAGTGCTGAATTTGGACTTTGAGGACTTGGTTTGAAACTTCAGCTCTCCTATTTACCACCTGTATGAACCTGGGTTAGTCACTTCTTTCTTCGCCCTCTTTCCTGAAGTATAAAGGAAAAGGCTGGACCAGAAGACCTTAAAGCTCCCTTCCATCTTAGTATCTATGATTCTGTGATCCTATGTCCATTCAGACTAACATTTTATGGCTCCTAGGGACTGAGCTGGAAGGGACCTTAGCTCTCCTCATGTCCAATCTCTTCATTTGACAGAAAAGGAAGCTGAGGCACAGGAGAGGCGAAGTGAATAAATAAGCCTAGCGTTGGGCTCCTGACTCCAAATTCAGTGTTCCTTCCATTCCACGGTGATGCCTCAGAGATAAGTGAACTAACTCATCACGTCCATGACTTCACATTCAATACATTACCAAGAACAGCATTTTCTCAATTCTCAGGCTTGAAGGAGGAGAAAAAAGTCTGGATGAAAGTTAAAAATAGGTCATGTGAATTTAATTCGAGCTTCTCTGGGACTATTAGTGTGGTGAAGAGAAATGAAGAAAGGGAAAAAATAGAAATTGTATTCAATAAGCTTCCTGGCAGCATCTTATTTTCTCACAAATATTTATGGAGAGAGAGTTCTCATCAGAACGAGGCCTCATTAACGAGAGGGTCCTGGAACACAGGTGGGATGCCACTTCACATTTTCAATAATAATTAAAAAACACCTGACTATGGCCCTGACAGCTGAACTGTGAAAGCAAACACAAACACAAAAACACTGTTTAGAGACAATTGCTCTACCTATATTTACCCAATCTTTCTTATTTCTTCGTCTTTACAAAGTATGTTTTCATAACACCGAGGACATTAAAAAGAAAGAGAGAGAGAGAGAGAGAGAGAGAGAGAGAGAGAGAGAGAGAGAGAGAGAGAGAGTGCTTTCTATTGTTCCTGGAATACCCACCTCCCCCTTGTAATACTCATAATATTATTGTAATACTTATTATTATATTATAATTCTAGGCTGCTTATAATATTAGGAGTCAGAATCTCCTCTTTCTGACTGTAAGGACTGAGAAGAAACAGTGCCTCTATGTTTTAAGGACATTTCCTGAAAAAGGAATCCCAGACATCTCAGGAGATCTATGGATTTTGCAATTGCCAAAGGCCCTTGAGGGCTTTTTCTGCCATTTTGGCAGGAGGGGCCAGAATTTCAACTTTAAGATACTGCTTCACAAGCACTATTCTAAATAGGAATTCTGTCACAGGTGGAGGCTTGTCCCTGAGAAACAAAACATCTGTTTCCACACAAATGTCACCCATAATAAAGAGGGATAGAAAAGCCATGTGACATAGAAATTGGATGTTTCCATATAAAAGCTGCTTTTCAGTTTTTCTGTGTATAAACAACAGCTCGTTACTTCAATATTCCAGTGTATTCGATGGAGAAGACTATTCCTTAACACTACCAGGATCCAGAAGAGGGGAAAAGAAACCTTGGCAGCTTTTTGCGAGTAGCAGGCCCCGAATTCCTAAACAAACTCCAAATGCCACTTCCTGGTTCAGAGGCAAGGAGCTTAGAAAAGAAAAAAAGGTGGGAGGGGGGAGCTCATAAAAATACTCAGAGGGCATACTGGTCATCAAACAGCTTTGAGCAAACTGCATTTGCAAATGAATCTCAAAACATGTGGATTCAATTTTCTCTGAAATGCCCAGAGGTTAAAAAATTAAAGGGGAAATGTTTGGCAGAATGAACCAAGGGTTTGGCCCAGGCCTGCAAGTTTCTGAAAAGAAATGGATTGTTTTGCTGGAGTGAAAATATTACCTGGTACCCCATCTCAATCATTTCTATAACCTAATTAGCATGGGCCCCATTTCTCATTGTGCCTACAAAGCTGACAGAAGAACAGAGCTCATTCTATAGAAAATGGGAACTTAATTCCCAGAATGACTCACTGCACATGGAGATCCATAGTTTCAAGGATGATGTGGGTCTCAACTCAAGCAAAATGGGAGCAGAGAAACCATCTGCTAAAAAGTTATTCCTCTTGTACTTACTTCTTTCCAACACCTCTCCCCCAATCAAGTCATCAACTTCACCCCTCTTTTTTTTCCACAAAACCCCCCAAACGTCTTTTTATTATGACCAAATAAACACAGGGAAATGTGGAACTGCTTTAAAGCAAATCAAAACTGCTTTAAAAAGCTCATGAAAATGGGGGGAAACTACATCTGTAAAAAAGCAATGATTACCCTTAAAACAATGTGAGGCCAACAGCAGAAGTCCCATTACTCGATGATATGTGTTCCCTTTAAGTGGCTGTTTCTGGTCTCTGAGGTAGCAAAATGGTCACATGGTGCCATTGTTGCCATGGCAATAATCTGTAATTGTGCAGAAAATCCACAGAACTTGTGTGTAACTCCTTGGTGGATTAGGCTGAAAGGAAATCAAACCTATGGAAGTTCTGAATTGACGTTGTTATGAAACTGCGTTGGCCAACCTGTTCTGATTTAGCTTACTTTGAACTGACGGAATTTACCTTCCGCTGGCCCCCATCAAGCTTTAGTGCATTCCCTTTACATGTACGGATATGTGCACGTCTGTATGTGCCTGTACACAAATATATGATATCTAATAATAGCGAACATTTACATAGTGCTGACTACTTCCCAGGCACTGTGCTAAGCACTTTACAATTATTATCTCATTTAATAATAAAAAATAATAATAGTTAACGTTTATATAGTGTCTATGATGTGCTGGGTGCTGTGCTAAGTGCTTTACAATTATTATCTCATTTGATCCTTGCAATAACTCTGGGAGGCAGGTTCTATTATTATCTTCATTTTACAGATGAGGAAACTGAGGCAAACAACGATTAAGTGACTTCCCTTGGATCATACAGCTAGTACAAGGCTAGATTTGAACCCAGAATTTCTTGAGGTTAAAAAATTTAGAACACACACTCACACATGTGCACACACATGTACATGCATTACATGTACATATACATACATGTGGGTGCACACATGAGTATTGTATGTGCACACATATGTATACATTCACATATGTGTATAATACATATATATCCTACTTTTATTTTCACAACTGGTGAAGAATATAAATATTAGCTTGCAGATTCTCACATTTACCCCTCAGAATTCTGAGCACATGTTGAGAAATACATGGAATGGGAATTGTTATGTCTTTGGCGGATGACATTTATAAGTCCTTTAACTAGCATTCAGGGTACCAGCATTTGTTTCATGTTGTACAGGTGAACAGACATTAAAAAATGTATGTATATGTTACTGGACCATCCAAAAAAAAAATACCAGAAGGGTGTTTATCCTGAAGGAACAGCACATAGAACACCCAAGGCCAACAACCTGTGTTGCCAGTGGTATGTTTCCTTCAGTAGCCTGGCAACCAAGTATACACACATGCACAACACACCCATCTGAAAGGAGGCCAAAGCTGGCCTTCCTCAGAGCAGACTAACTCAAAACATACCATAGAACTACATGATAAGGGCAGATAGGTGGCTTCCCCCCCCCCCAAACTAAGTGTCATGTGATGCTTTAGAGACCTATATATGTGGGCCAAAAGCCAACATGTAAAATTGTGTGTGGGGGGGGTTTGGGGGTGACAAGTGAGGAGTCATCTGATGGAGGATGGGTCAAAGGGAGGGGGTGGACAAACTGCCTTCATCAATTCCAGGCTGCCTTGAGAATCCCATGGGAATGTGGCTTATGAACAGATCCCATGAGAACATCTGGAATTAAGATGCTCTTGCCCGGCACTTAACCCAAACTCATTAATGCAAATGCTTTATTTGTTCTACTTTATTTATTTTTTGGGGGAAAATCTTCAAATACCACACATTTGGTTTGCCTTCCTTTTGATCTTTCTTTCAAGGAAGAAAAGGTGGGGAAAATAAAAAGACAAAGTTGCACGTAGAGATAGAACTCTCACATACTTTGAAAACAG